TCCCCTTGGCCTCAGGCACAGGGACGGCACCTATGTCGGGGGTGGGGGTGGAATTCGTCTCCTGCCCTCGGGGGATAGAGGTCCCGCTGTCCTTGGACCGGCTGTCTCTCAAGTAACATTAATTCAAAGGGATCAAAATATGCCAAAGTGGCATGTTTTAGGGTGGCTCCGGGCCCTGACACTTGTAAATAACTTCAGCTATTAAGTCTTACAAGTTATTTATGAAAACATATTTATTGGTTGCTCAGTATCACCTGGTGCCCCAGGGCAGGGTCAGCACAGCTGTCCTGGGAAGGGCCAGGAGGCAGGCGTGTGAGGCTCGGCACCAGGTCTCTGCACAGACACACAGGCCCACCTTTGCCACGTGGCAGCGGCCGTGGATGGTAGGACCATGAATGCACGTGGCTGTCCTGCAATAGAACTTTGACAGAAATAGACGGTGAGCCAGGTTTGGGTTTCTGAAGCCGTCAGCTACCCCTCCCCTAAAAAAAAGTTCTAGAGCAGGAAGGTAAATGGCAAATTAAAATGAGGTAAATCACAGAATTCCCAGATAATTAATTCTATCAAAGGCAAAAAAAACCCCCAAAAAACCACTATAATTTTTTCCCTCCTATTTTATCGGAGTACACGGCATGTCGAATGATGAGTTTGAAAATAAACCCTAAATATCTTTATTTATGGCTTTTTTGTTTTGTTTTAAAGTCTAGCCCAAGGTTCGGACAAGCTTCTCTTTATTAAGCCTCAGTTTACCCAGCGTGTTCCGTGCACCAGGTGCCGCGTGGCTCACTGGAAACTCACAAACGATTTGGGCACAAACTTCCCTTCAGGGAGCCGCGGTCTAGACGGGCACGCGAGTGGCCAGACGCCCTCCTGCCTGGACCACGCAGGGTGTGGATGTCCCGGAAGCTTCCCTCGAGAGTGGCGTGGGCCTCGGGCCAGGACTGGACCCTGGGAGAGCGCGTGGGAAACGCTGCGTCACCCAGCCAGTCGCCCTCCTGCCTCCTCAGCGTCGGTGGAGCACCTGCCGGGTGCACGCCTCCCCTGGGCGCTGGGAGTATAGGGCTCACGGAGGAGGAAGGGAGAGAGAAATGGCGGGAACGTCTTGGGGGTTATTGCTGGTGGTGATCATGACACGTTTGAATGCATGGTGGTTTTATGGAGGAATATACTGATGGGAGATGTTTCATCTAGGGTTTGGGGTACGCGGCACTAACGTAAGATTAGGTTCTTCTGTGGTGCAAACGTCTAGTTGTAATTAGTCAGCCTTTGTGGTTTCAAGACGATTCCAGTCTTAGGTGGTTGGGCCGTAGATGGTCATTTTCTGCCCATTAGCACGTCTGGTGGAGTCTGGAGGGGGGGAGTAGAATTTTGGACTTGCCACGAGTTAGCAGATTTGGTAAAGAAGGCAATAAAATTGATATTTCATATTAAAAATGGGGCCGCGAATCGTCTGTGGGCTTGTTGGAGCCTATGGCTCCGGCTTTCTCCCAAGCACAGAACCGACGTCTGGGTGGACCTGGTAGGGTTGTGCCCACGCACGCCGAGTGGTGAGATGAACCTCGGGAGCTGGCGTGGGCAGCGAGCCCAAGGGTTGGCACGTTTAAGTACTTCACCCGTCAGAGTGATCGTCAGAGTAATCGGTCTTTCGTTAGCAGCGCCAAAGACGGTGCCCTGCTGATGTGAGGATGTTAATTCTGATGTTTATCTGATGTTTGTTTATTTACTTGAACTTGGCTGGTGGGAAAGGACTTCTTTGCCTCTGGCGGTGAGTTGGCACATGGATGCTGTCATTCTGACACCTGGAAGAAGGGAAGGGAAACCTCAGCGCCAGGAGGGAAGCATTTCACAAGAAAAAGCAACAAAAGTAGGGACCTAGAGCGATGGGCAAGTAGGAACCAGCGTCCCAAGGGTGTGGGACTGCAGAGCTGGAATCGGGTGACTGTGGCCTCAGACCTGGAGTGTCCTCAGGTGTGAAGCAGCCCAGGTCTCCACAGGTTCCTCGGTGTTCCCGGGACCCCGGGGGATGTGGGGCTGCAGAGTATTGAAAAGTCATTGTTTCCTCTGGAAACAGCTGATGGGAATGAAGCCTCAGGGACGTTAGCTCCGGAGGCGTCCAGGTGTTTAGCCCAGACAGCGGGGTTGTCGCTTTCATCTTTCGAGGCGGATGTCTCTGCTGGCTCCCAGCGGCAGTGCCAGGGACCGAGAAACGAGCCAAAGGGGGATTCGGATGCTCACTGCTGGGGATTTCCTCCCTCACACGCCCAAGTTTGCAAACTGAATAAATAGTCAGCAAGGTGTCTGAGTGCCCCGAATGTGCCCCACAGGGTGCTCTCTCACCCGTGGGTGCTCTGCCTGCCGAGATGCCGGGTCTTCATTCAGAAGATGTAGGAGGACCTATTTCTCATTTGGAGTCTGCTGTGGGCTGAATGTTTGTGCTCCCCTCACGTTCATATGTTGAGGCCCCAATCTCAGCGTGATCGTTAGCTTTGGGAGGCGGGGCCTTGGAGAAGTAATTAGGCCCTGAGGGTGGGGCCCTCCTGATGGGATTAGGGCCCTTTTAGAAGACAGAGGACAGCTGGTTGGTTCTCTCTCTGCGGTTCGGCCACAGCCAGAAGGAGGAGGGCTCTTATCAGGAACTGAATCAGCCGGAGCCTTGATCCTGCACTTCCCAGCCTCCAAGTGCGGAGAAATAAACGTTGGCCCATGGTACTTGCAGCAGCCCAGGTTGGCCGAGAAAGGGTCTGTGGGCCAACTTTGAAGGAATCTGTCCTTCAGCCTTTCATGAAATGTTTAAAATTCATAGTGCTGTCCATTCTGTGTTTTTTAAAACTTCAAATCATCCCTAAGTCAACTTTCTAGAGTGTTAGCTGCTTAAGCATCGGTCAGGTTGGAAGTAAGGGGTCCCATTAAAGTCTACTCTGGACTAATTGCTGGAGCCGAGCTCTGAGTTTTCCTTCTAGAGACAGAAACGTGAGGAGTGGGGCGGGATGTGCCTGAGTCAGCGCGAGAAAGAGGCACAGAGTCCAGTGTCCGCCTGGCGATCAGAGCCAGCTACTCGGGGAGGGCAAGCCAGTGCTCGCTCCGGGCGCAGCCAGCTTCACGGGTGTGCTCGCCGGGTGCAGGACTCGCTCTGATTACGGGAGGGAGGCACACTCGGCAGAGCGCACTCTAGGAATCAGAATCAGCAGGCAGACGTCTGGGCCTCCTGAGAGGACTGGCCTTGCGGGGTGAAAGCTTCCAGAGGTGACCCGTCACCAACAGCGTGGCTGTGTCCCAATAAAAGCGTATTTATGGAAATAAGTGGGGGCTGGTGCACCCCCAGGCTGGTCCCCCGATTGTCACAGACGCTCAAGGTGTATGGTGACCCAGTTTTATGAGGAATTGGGGGCCAGTAGTTGCACTAAAATGCTGCCTTGTTTAGGTTAGTGTCCCTCCGGGTGAAGTGTCTTGCTCTGGCCAGAGGGGGCGACGGTCTCCATGCTGGTCAGAGGCTCCCAGCCAGGACCCTGTTCTCCCCCAGGGTCTGGGTGACCTTGCCCAGTCCCTCAGCATCTGTCACTCACAGCTGTTACCATAGTGATAATGGTCCTGCGCCCGCCTCTCTCCATCCCGAGGGTGCCTTGTGATGAGCTTGGAGCCGGTCATTTGGAGGAGGGGACAGTATGTTCACCATTCGGTCTGCTCGCCAACTAGAGGGCACTTTGGGGGTGTGAGGTTGTCGCTGAATGTTAGCCGTGGAGAGTTCAGTTTTAAAGGGAAGGCATTTGGTAATATGCACGAGGGAATGGGGTTCAGGGGCATGGATTTGTGGATTGACCGTGCAGTGTAACCAAGAGGGTGAAACAGGTATTTCGTTTTTTTAAAAAAAATATGTCTTTATTGATTTGAGAGAGAGGAAGGGAGAGGGGGAGAGAGAGAAACAGCAGTGATGAGAGTCACTGATCGGCTGCCTCCTGCACGCCCCCTACCAGGGATCGAGCCCGAAACCCAGGCACGTGCCCTGACCGGGAATCGAACCACAATCTCCTGGATCCTGGGTTGATGTTCAGCCGCTGAGCCATGCCGGCCGGGCTTGTTTTGGGTGTTATTAAGGCTGCGGGGAGGGTTCCATAGCTGACCTCATTACATATCATCTCCTTATGGAAACGGAGCCTTCTCTGGGAAGCCGCGGGTCTGAGCAGCAGGAAGGATTTTTATCAGTGTTTCCAAGTGAAATTGTAAAGTTACAAGTTGAACCCGGAAGCCTCAGAGGGACCCAGGCTGCTGCTTGCATGTCAATGAGGGGGAGGAAATTCATTAGGAGGCTGCGGTGTGGCTGGCATGCTAAGCCTGTGTAGAATCGGCCTCCTGGGGAGGGGGAGTTACCGCGGCCCTCGGTGAGGGCTCCTGCTGAGCACACTCGCTGCTCTGTTGCCCCCACGTTACTTAATTTTGCAAGAACATTCAAGGTCATGGACCAGAATTTCCACCTAGGAGATGTCTCAGAGTCTTTGTGGGTTTCGTTTGTTTTGTTCTGTTGACAAAAGCTCTTAGTTAAAACCCCAGTTGGTGTGACCACTTTGGGAATCTAAACGTACAGATGCCGTCACTCGGTTTTCATGATGTGAGAGCTGGTATTTGGCAAAGACCCTCCGGGAGCCGGGCTGCGGCCTCATTCCCTTTGTCTCTTACTAACAGCAGGTTCGTGGCACAGAGGGGGACCCTTGTCTTACAGGGGAGCACATGGGGAGTGGAGAAGGTGACTCTCAGGCTGAACAGCTAGAAGGGGGCAGAGCCAGGAGTGGAATCTGTCTTCGTGATTCCCAAATCCATGCAGGTAGCATGACCAAGAACCTCGGTTTCCGGGATGCAGGATTCTTGGCGCTAAAACTGCACCATCCTGGAAAGATGGGAGGAGTTGGGAGTTTTTCTGTTCTTATGACCCCCGCCCGCCCCTGGCCAGCGCCTGTGGTCACAGCCCAGCAGCCCTGTGGTCCTGACACTGGCGCCCTGTCTTGCAGGTGCTCACGTCCTGCCGAGCCTTCCTCCTCAGTGCCCGCGTCCCCACCAAGGTGAGTGTGGCAGGGCTCCGCCTTCCAGCACACGCACCCGCAGGTGCACACACACACACTCTAACACAGGCATACACACATGCACACATGACCACATGCACCACATGGGACGGTACAGCCCACCCCAGGGGGCAGAGCAGAGGGTCCCGTGGGTTGGTCCTGGGTGCTCTGTGCTCAGTACATTTCTGGGCTGGAGGCGAGGGCAAAGCTGGTGGACCCAGCTCCATCCCCATTGTCTGTAGGAGGGTGAAAGGCTGCAGAACAGGACAGCGGTCAGCGGCCACTGTCCAGGAAACAGGGAGTGTGAGACTCGACCTGTTTTCTTTCTAACCCTCACCTGAGGGTGTGCTTCCGTTGGTGAGAGCGAGCGAGAGAGATCGGAGTGCGAACCATCGGTTGGTTGCCTCCCATACGAGCCCCGACGGGGATCAAACCCCTGCGGGATGCACAGGGCGATGCCCCGACCCACTGGGCCACCCGGCCAGGGCTGAACCTATTTTGAAGAAAATAAACGCTGATCCCAGAAGAAGAGTGGAAGGAACCCTTATGACCAAAATAAGAAGGAATAAATAATTTCTCTCTGTGCAGGGAGAGAGAAGACTTTTATTTAACTCTGCGTTTCGCTGAAGCATGGTTTAAAATGCTAAATACTGTATTTCTCCAAGTCCATTTAAAACGGGAATCTTTATGGAAGGTGGTAATAAGTGGTCAGAGTGTCCCCAGAAGAGTCAGGGTTTAGAAAGACGGGCCAATGAGCCGACGTCATCCCGCTGTGACTCTCGGAAGCAAAATTTTGCAATAAAAGAAAAAAAAAGTGTTTAGATGGCTCACTTCAGACATTCGTTCCTCAGTGAATGAAATACCAGAGTAGAAATACCAAAACTTTCCACCGGGTTTGTCCCAGGGTGAAATTTAAAACGTCAGAACGTGCACCTTCCCTTTAGGGACGCAGGTAATACTTTTTCTAAAATATGGTCCATCTGGGGGAATGAAGGAGGATAGCAAACCAGCCCAGCCCCTGCTGGTAGCATTTCCAGCTGTAGTATTTTTACCTTGAATTATGTTCTGAGCCCTGACTTTAGTCTCTGTTTCCCCAACGGCAGCTTGAGCTTACCTTCAGCTACCTGGACATTCATGGGGTCACCTGCAGCAGGCCCACCCAGGTGAGTGTGAACCGCGGGCGCCTGCTGTCCTAACCGGGACGTCCTCGCCTCCCTGAGTTTCGGAAATGAGTTTGGAAGAAATATTTCAAACTCGTATGTTTGCGAGTAGGGTCACGTTGCTCACGGGTGAGGCATAGCCCGGGCCTCTGTGATGGTCTTAGCTGAGAAACACTCATGTTCATGATCTGAGGGTTGGGATGGGAGCCGAAGGGCCCTATTGAAATGTCAGTGCCAAGGTTATAGTCAAAACACGGTTTGACTTTGGTATTTGATGAGGAAGGATGTTGAGGCGGCAACACCGGTTTTCCCACCTGGTCGCTGGGACTGGTCTTAGCACCACCTGTGGCCCTGCCCCTTCCACAGGTGTGATGTTGAGAGGACCTGGGTGCCGAGCGGCTCCCCCCAGTGCCGTGGAGCTGCTCTGTCACTGCAGGTGCCAGGCAGATAGCTCTGCCACGTGACTCCAGTGAAACCTGGTCCCGTGGTGTCGACCTGGGAGACGACACTGTAAAGAAGCAGGTCACACACTGGCAGTTCCAGTCACCTGGTCGTATTCAGAAGCTGATGTGTCAGCATCGCCTGGGTGCTTTTTAAAAAATACTGATTCTGCCCCGGCTGTTGTGGCTCAGTGGTTGAGTGTTGACTGAGGAACCAAGAGGCCCCTGGTTCGATTCCCGGTCAGGGCACAGGCCTGGGCAGCAGACTCGACCCCCAGTAGGGGGCGTGCGGGAGGCAGCCGGTCAGTGATGTTTCTCATCTCCTTCCTTTCTCTAAAATCAATAAAAATAAACCTGACTCCTTCAGCAGAACCCCTCTCCCTGTCACCCCCCTTCCCCCCCATGGGACACTTAGGGTTCAGTGTGTCTAGGGGGCCGTCTGTGTTTTTTTAAAATATTTTTTTTATTGATTTCAGAGGAAGGGAGAGGGGGAGAGAGAAACATGCATGCGAGAGTGGAACCTCGATGGGCTGCCTCCTGCACGCCCCCACGGAATGGAGCCTGCCACCCGGGCATGTGCCCTGACCGGGAGTCGAGCTGTGACCTCCTGGCCCGTGGGCAGTGCTCAACCACTGAGACCTGCCGGCCGGGCTGCATTGTTTAATCTTCTGCCAAAGGCTCAGAGTTAGCCACCCGTGTGGCCTCAGCCCCCGCTGTCTCCGCGGCTCTCCTACGGCTGACAGCGCCTGCCCGTGGCGCTCACCACCTAGCCGGGATTTCTTTTCTAACGTCACAGTTGCACACTGGGGGGATCGGGCCATGATTGAGCGGTGCCCTCCGGCTCTTGCAGATGGTCGTGGAAACCGAGAAATACAACCTAGCCCTGAGGATGGCATCGCCCGAGGACGTGAGCGAGGTGCTGGCCCACGTGGGCTCCTGCCTGCGGAGGACGTTTCCTGGCCTGTCTCCCGTGTGAGTCCTGGGTTGGTGGGCGGCAGGCAGAGGGCTGGCCTCCTCCGGCTGGGGCCCACGTTCCACGTCTGAGGTTTTCTGTGCCGCTCTGCCCTCTTCTCTAAAGAGCTGGGGTGAGGTTTTCACTCTGGAATTGGCCCGTGTGAACTCTGTGCTCAGTGCTCCTCAGGTGCCCACTGCTCTGGGGACAGTGGCCATAAAACACAGGACGAGCCTTGGAAGGGAATTTTATTATTTATTTTTATTTTAAAATATGTTTTTATTGATTTTTTAGAGAGAGGAATGGAAAGGGGGAGAGAGAAACGTCATTGATCAGCTGCCTCCCTCACATGCCCCGACCAGGGATTGAACTGGCAACCTGGGCACGTGCCCTGACCAGGAATCGAACGGGCCACCGTTTGGTGCACAGGTGATGCCCAACCAACTGAGCCACACAGGCCAGGGCTGGAAGGGAATTTTAATTAAGTCAATTAAATTATTTAAAGGATTTACAGATTATTTTTATGTCAACAACTAGACCCATGCACTGGTTGTCCAGTTCATGGGCCTCCCGCCTGAGCTGCTTTGCCGTCTGGCGTGAATTTAACGCCCAGCATGTCAGTGCGGTTCCCCCGCTGAGCAGTGCAGTCGGCGTGGGAGGGCCAGGCCTGCGTGTCTGTTTGCTGGGACTTCATTGCCCTGTTGGCACCGGACACTCTCTATTTGCCAAAATTGAAGCAGTGCCCGTAGTATATGTATATATTTTAAAAGGCCTCTCACAAAATAGATTTCTCTGTGAGTCTGAAACACTTCATTTTTTATGTTCCTTGTTGTTGTCAATCTTGCAGGAAAATCATGAAAAGAGTGTCCATGGAGCCGTCGGAGAGACTGGCCAGCCTGCAGGCCCTGTGGGACAGCCAGCCTGTGCCCGAGCAGGGCCCCTGTGGTGAGCACACATTTTAAAACTAACCTCTCAGTGTCCGCGTGGCTGTCCCGGCCAGGAAGTGAGTCTGTTCCTTGCGTGCTCCGTGGAGGTGCGGCCAGTGCCGGGGCGTAATTAGCCCAGCTGGCCGGGGGACCGAGCCCGTATTTAAGCTCCGCTGCATCCTGCCTGCGGCGCCCATGGGGGGCGAGGACAGCCCTGGTTCCCAAACAGAAGAGGTGATCCGCCTGTCGGCATTGGCCGTGCGGAAACTCTTAAATTTTAACTTCAAAATCGCTTACCTGAGAACCTGTCCCATTTCTGCTTACGTTTCAGGTGGGTTTTCTCAGATGTACGCCTGTGTCTGCGACTGGCTGGGGTTCCCGTACAGGGAGGAAGTACAGTGGGTGAGTGTATCTGTGTGCACGTGTGCACACTCGGACACACAACACGACACTCGCAGACACACTCAGGCACACACACACAGTCACATACACTCGCACACACACGGACGACTTCAGTATTTGTCTGACTTATTTCCCTCTTCCCCACTGTTCATGTTTGCGTACAATCTTCCCTGCTCCGATTACGTAAAAATCCGGCCGTGTCATTGTCTGACTGCATCTCTCTCGCTTCCCCGTCGTCCACGTGGAACATGGACGCGACTGAACTGCGCGTCCATCAGGATGTAGACACGATTTACCTGACACAGGACACCCGGGAGCTGAACCTGCAGGACTTCAGCCACCTCGACCACAGGTAGGAGCCTCTCCCTCTGCCTTCCTCCCTCTGGTTCAGCGCCCAGGATGGTGGGTTTGTACAGAAATAGTAGAAACGAACACGTGGGCGTGGGGTCGCGGGCTGCGGCTGCCGTAAGGCACGCTCGTGCGTCTTGTCATTTCTGCTTCTAGGGACCTGATCCCGATCATCGCTGCCCTGGAATACAACCAGTGGTTCACAAAGCTGTCCTCCAAGGACCTGAGGCTGGTGAGTGGCGCGGAGCTCCGCAGGGAAGGCCTGCAAACACCTGCTCGTTACCAAAAAAATACTTGCTTTTCTGTCCTACCGGTGAGCTGCGTGCAAGTTTATTTCTTGGGGAGATATTTTCCTAAAAATGGTCTTTATAACATTTTCTGAAGTTTGTAGTGTGAGGCGCTTTGGGCAAGTACCTCCTCGTGTTTTCAGCTGCTTCAGGCCATTTAGACCGTGAGCAGAAAGACACGTGCATGGGGCCTTCCGTCCACTCGTTCCGTTGGCAAAAACGATTTAAGTTTCGTCTGCGGAGAGCAGACTTGTGCTCCTGTCATCCCCACAAAGCTTCCCTCCCTGAGACTTCAGGAAGATGTTACCTGGTAGAGCTGTGAGAGTCAACACTGATTTTCCAGACGACTTTTGGGGCACATTTATGCCTAAGCAGAACGAAATCAAAGGGAAATCAGTTAGTTTTCATAAGGCACCGGGGAGCCAGACTCTTGGTCTGTTGTACCAGTGGGAACGAAGTGCCCGTCAGGGCTGCTTTGCAGGTTCAAGGCAGCCGTGTGGACAGGCGCTCACCCGAGAGCTCGCTTTTTGCTGCTTTGAGCTCAGACAGGAGACAGTTTAGATGTCTTACTGGAGACTCTTACATCCAAGCCTCCAAGTCAGTTTATGGGAAGTGCTCAGAGGCCAGAGGAACTGGCGGTTTTAAGATTTTCACAGTGAAGAGGTGGGGTTTGGATCGAGACGTACATCTGAGGAAAGCGGAGGTTGGAAGTTGGCTGGTGGACAGGCCACGGGCTCTCTGGATTGGCCTGGGGGTGAGTGACCTCAGGTGGTGTCAGTGAGGAACGTGGGCTGAACTTGCGGGGCCGTGCCGAGGTGCAGGGGATGCGGGGGTGATTGGTTGAAGTACAGCTTTGCACAGGTTTTAGCAGCGGCGAGCTTGGTTTCAGACGTGCTGCGTGGTTAAAGGGTGTGTTCCGTTGCAGTCCACTGATGTCTGTGAGCAGATCTTGAGGGTGGTGAGTAGGTCCAGTCGACTGGAAGAGCTGGTGTTGGAAAACGCTGGACTTCGAACGTGAGTATTTCCCTGCATATGTGACTGTGGCTTTAGAGCTTTTTGCCATTTCCTCTAATATTAATATACAATTAAAGAAAAAAGGTGGACTCCTCACAGATAGAGTATCCTGTTTTCCTTTCTTAAAAAAATCCTGGCCTCCCCATTGTTACCACAGAGGTCACGGGTTTTATAACATTGTTCGTTATTGTGTCTTGGGATGTATTTGACCTTGCTTGGCGTAGAGGTCAAGGGCATGGATCCTTGAGCCAGATGCCTCGTGGCCTCGGGCAGCGTGTTTCTGCTCCCTGTGCCTCAGTCTCTTCATCTTTGAAATGGGGATGATATTAGCACCTTCCTTATAAAATTACAGATCTGAGGGTAAATGAGTCAGTTTACGGCAAGTGCTCAGAAAGTCTCTTTTGTGTTCTAGGTGCCGTGTTAACTCTCACCAGCACCACTGGCGGTAGTTGTAGTCACAGCCTATTGCCTATTATTTCACTTCTTTGCTTTGATCTTCTCTAGCGTTTCCCTCCCTTTTCAGACTCACACTTACATCGTCTCCACCTTGTGGTTCCGAGGTCCCTGCCCGAGCCCGTGGGGGCGCGTTAGGGCTCAAATCTGCTAGAACAGAGACTTTGCTGCTCAGTAGGGAGGGAGGGGTGGCAGCTTCATAATCATAGCACTCGGTGCGTTATTTTAAGTGAAACGCACCTAAAATAGTGATTTTGATTTTCCTTAAAATATGGTGCTAGCAATTGCAGCCTTTAAACGCAATAATTAGAGCAGTTGGGTCTGCATTCGTGAGCACTGCTGAGGTATGGAGGGGCCCACTCGTACTATTAATAGCGTCCTGAAATGTGTCTTTAATGGGGCAATTGCGTGGTTTACTTTTGCTTCTGAATGAGGTTTTGGCCAAGCAATGTGAGCGATGTTCGAGGTGACTTTACAGATTTTCTAATGAGGATTTGAACCCGTGCAGAATAGATTGGATGCTAAGAAATACAGGGTGTCCCCAAAGATGTACACACACATTGAATAATTATAAACGCAGTGTTTATTAAAATACATTTCATTTTCAAAATGCAATAGAATCTACAGACGAAGTGTGTGTGCATTTTTGGGGGACACCCTGTATATGACACACGGACTCCCGTTGGGAAGGGAGCGTCTCTGTCGGTTTGCCTCTCGCTGTTCTCGCCGTGAGCGTTGAGCAGTTTTCCTCCCGTGTCCCTTCACCCCACTGTTGTTCGTTTGCAGGGATTTTGCACAGAAACTGGCCAGTGCCCTTGCGCATAACCCCGGCTCCGGGCTGCACACCATCGACCTTGCCGGCAACCCGCTGGAGGACCGAGGTACCGGAGCGTCTCCGACGCCCGCCGGGGGCCGCGAGTGGGCGGGGGGCTCACCCCGCCGGCCTGGGGCACCGACTTGGCTGAGCTGTAACTACGTTCTCAGCGCTGCTTCTGTTCCGGGTGGCGCCCGGTCCTTGCTACCCTGTGATGGAAATGCTCATGGTGGCAGCTATGCCCGGATGGGAATTCCCCAGGAAATGCCACCGAGTCAGCACTGTGTATAGAAACCTCAGTCGAGGGGAAAGGGGTTAAGAGTTTATTGAAAGCCTCAGGAACAAATTTGTAAAAACAAATGCCATTCTGAGAACTTGAAAATTCTCATAATCTCTTTTTCCCCCTTTCTCAGGTGTGTCCTCCTTAAGTATTCAATTTGCCAAACTCCCAAAGGGATTAAAGCATTTAAATTTATCTAAAACCTCATTGTCACCGAAAGGTACAGTACATTTTATTTACTTAACTCTATGTCTGTAATGTTCTGTATTTCTGCCAGGCCCTGCTATCTTAAATGGTTAGAGGGATTGCTCAGTTATGTGTCTGCAGTTAAAATACACGTATTACCCCCTGGCCGGGCGGCTCGGTTGGTTGGAGCGTCGTCCGTGCACCCAAAGGTGTTGGGTTCGATTCCGGGCAGGGCAGGTCCCCAGGTTTCAGGGCCCGTCCCTCGTCGGGGCGAGTACAGGAGGCAACCAGATGGTGTTTCTCCCTCGTGTCCCCGCACCCTTCCCGGACCAAGCCGCCTGTCGACCTCTCCCCGCAGGAACCTGTGTCGCGAGAATTCCTCTTGTTTTATAACACGTGACCCTCGGAATTTTAAGTTGCCCATTTAAAAATGTATCTTGAAATATTGTTTTTATAAGAAAATGGCTTTTTTTTTTTTTTTTAAAGCTTTCCTTGTTCTTGCCGACTGTCCCAGGATCTGAAAGTTTCAAAATAACTCCGGTTAGGTGGTCGTCGTAAGCTTTGTGGAGCTTGACTGGCATTTATACTTCAGTTCCAGGAAAACATTCACAGTCACGGCTCCATAATTCAAGAAAGATTTTTTTTCCCCCCATGACGTCCACACGGTTTCCAAATACCCTCTCTCTTCTTCCGATGTTAGCGGGATGTTCTCTGGGCTCCGCGTGGCTGTCCCGCTGGCTGCCAGCCCGTCCTCGCGGGCCACCTGCTGCCAGCTTGCCCAGCTGTAAACGCTCCGCAGCACCCAGCGCGCAGCGGACGCCCCCCCGGCCCAGGGCGCGTGGCAATCTGTGTTTCCTGTGGGCCTTGAGAGTCCTGATTTTTTCCATGTGTGTTTTTGGATTTCTTGCTGCTAATGTGCCTATTAACCCTGGCCTCCCGTGGATGGGGGCTCGCTGGGGGGCCGGGGGACCCTCATTCTGTTCGGTGGCAGGAAGCTGGGCGGATGGCACGGTTCTCCTGGAGTCTGTGCAGATGTTGGCCCGCCGCCAAGCGCTGGCACCTGCCAGGGAGCCATGTGCTGTGGGGGCTAATTCGACCTGTTAATTTTGGAATTTATTTATGAAGGTTTGTCAGACCTCACTAAGGAAATGGTTTTACAAATGACTTTCTTGATGAGAGTCTGGTGTTTTCCATATGTTTTGGACTCAGTTATTCCATCACGGAATTTATTAATAGTACCAGTAATGGGCCAGGCTCAAGGAGGTTGATCATTTAAACCACCATAGGTGTTACCTCCAGAAAGCACGCTCTCTATGGGCCGTCACAGGTTTCATTATCTGACATAATTAATCAGGTTCCCACCTCCTTCACGGCCAGGCTCTTGTCCTGCATATTTGCTTGTACTGACCTCAGTAGATTATTCCACTGTCTCTGTTCTCCCTGGACTGGCTGCTAGAGGGAGAGACGGGCCCTTGGGTCTCTGAAGCCCATGCCTGTAGCAGGAGGCTTCCCTTAAAGACCTGTTGCAATGAGTGTTATTTACAATAGCTAAGATCTGGAAACAGCCCAAGTGCCCATCGGTAGATGAGTGGCTGAAAGAGCTGTGGGACGTTTACGCTGTGGAATATTATGCAGCTGTGAAAAAGAAGGATCTCGTACCCTTTGGGACAGCAGGGAGCGACCTGGAGAGTATTATGCTGAGCGAAATAAACCAGCCAGAGAAAGACAAGCACCACATGATCTCACTTATATGTGGAACCTAATGAACAAAATAAACTGACGAACAAAATAGATCCAGAGACATGGAAGCATGGAACAGACTGAGGGGTCTCAGAGGGAAGGGGAGAGGGGGTGCAGGAAGAGGTTAACCAAAGAACTTATATGCGTATACGCGTAACCCATGGATAGACAATAGTTCAGTGAAGGCCTGGGGAGGGGGTCAGTGGGGGGAAAGGGGGACATCTGCAATACTTTCAACAACAAAGATAAAACAAAAAACCCTGTTGCAATGAATAAATACTCCCTGTGTAGCACTGACTTCATCCTGGACTTTAGTTTCTCTGAACATTTCGAGGGCACGGAATGGGTCTCAGTTACATAAATCCGAATCCCCAGCCTTGTATAAACATTTCACGAGCACTTAATAAGTGTGGAGCTGATGGCCAAGGAATTCCTCCTTGAACTTCAGTAAAATATTTTTCGCTCGGCCCCATCTCTTCTCTCTACACGTCCAAAGCCGTACTCGCCCTGGGCAACGGCTCCAGTGACTGTATCAGACACGCTGGAGTCACTCCTTTGTAACTCAGCCCTTTCCTCGGAGCTTTTAAAAGTAAGTTTTTATTGGTTTCAGAGAGAGAGAGAGAGAGAGAAACATCGATCGGCTGCCCCCTGCACGCCCCTACGGGGGATCGAGCCCACACCGGCATGTGCCCTGACCGGGAATCGAACCAGCGACCCTTCGGTGCCCGGACGACGCCCAGCCGTGGGCACCAGCCAGTTCCTGTGGGTTGCTTTTCACACGGTGCACGGGTCCCTCTGTAAAGTCCATCGGTCCCGGTTCTGTGCGGGGCTCACCACGTTCAGCGGCGCTGCGTTCCGATGACGCCCACGTTTCAGGGGCTTAAAGCACCTGAACGCGCACCTGCGTCAGTAAACCCCGCACCGAGTCAGGGACCCCCGGCAGGACAGAGGCGACGAGGTGGCCGGCTTTGTTCTGAGGCTTCAAAGTAAAATCCTTTCCGTCCACGCCAGCAGTGGGACGAAGGCAGCTGGCCCCGTGTGTCTCCCGTGGCTGGGCCTGTGGCTGCCTGTCCTCCTGGGGGGACGTCTGAAGAGACCACCGTGGGGCTGCCTCGTGGGGACAGCTCAGGGCTGAGCTCCGCCTGCGGTGTGACGTTACAGACGTGCAGACCTTTCGTTCCTGGGGTGGAAATTGAGCCGCGTCTCCTCGCTGTTTCAGGGGTGAACAGCCTTTCTCAGTCACTCAGTGCCAACCCGCTGACCGCCTCCACCCTCACCCACCTCGACCTCTCAGGGAACGCCCTCCGCGGAGACGACCTCTCGGTAGGTTTCCCGTCCTTGCTGCAGGAGCTGCATTTCATAAGCCGGGAGTGAGGCCCCAGAGTGCCTTTCTCATTTATTTCCCTCCGTCTCCCTTTCCTGTGATGCCTTCAGACCGTTGCTTTCTGAGCTTATGAAGTGTTGTGGAGAGAAATTTCAGCCTTCCTTAAATATTGTCTGTCCACATCGATGTTTTTTTCTCTCTCCCTCATTAATGTTGCTGAAGTTCAGGTTCTTTTTGGAAATACTTTTTTGGAAGGAATTATTTTCTTGGTTTAAAAGCAGTATCGCACCTGCTAAAGTCGCCCGATGGGAAGGTTGGACACATAAGTGAGCTGAGTTATTTCATCATTATTCATATTGTTTTTACGTATAGTTTGCAGTTGAAAGGGGGCCTTGGGGGAAGTGCCAGCCCTGCTCCACGGACGCCGCAGGGAGGGGCGGGTTAGCGTGACGGGCGGGGCTCGCTCTGCGCGGTGAGTCTGCAGGGAAAGCCGCCCCGGCGAGAACAGGGCTCTCCGTGTTCCCGAGTCACTGATGCAGACGTCTGGCAGAAATTCCTGATGCAGCAAATTAGGGATGATCTCACTGCCAGATGCGGTTGGTGGCCCTCCGGTCACCATCATCCGATTTAGAGGAAACACTTTCTTACCGGCAGGGCCGACGTCGAGCGGCGGCTTCGAGGGCCTCCCTCAGTCCCGCTCTGTGGGGTGAAACCGCGGCGTTTATGTTCGTTTCTCGGGGGGGTTGCCGTTCCCCGCAGGGTGGGAATGTCGCCCGGTGCTTCCCGGGTTGCTGCTGTTGCGCTCACAGGGGGAACCACTTAGATAGGACTGTTTCCTGGTGACGTGACTTTCTGTGCTGTCCGATCACAGCACCTTCACTGAGGACCCCTCTGCTCCGTCCCACGATGAAAGGAGTCCGATGTGAAGCCACCAAAGCATGACTGTGGCAAACAGAGGAGCAGAGAGGGGTTAAAGATGAGTAATGAGGCAGCTACGATTCGGGCAGGCCTGGGTCTTGCAGGGGAGCGGGGAGGCCTGGGCCAGGGCGGCTCCCGGACCGGGTGCGGGCACGGTGTGCCCACGCCCCACCTGCCCTGAGCCCGCTGGGAGACCAGCCTCGGCCTCGGCCTCTTCCAAGCAGGGTCCCCAAGCCGGGTCTCGTCGCCGCTGGAGGTGACGAGAGCTCCCCCAGCTGGCGGCCGGGCCAAGCCAGGGGAGCAGAGATTTTCCCGAGGACTTTTCACAGTTCAGCCGGCTGTGCGTCTGGTTGTCCTAAAGTATTTCCGGGCTAACCTCCTGCCCCTGGAATTCTCGGTGGAGCAGATTTCCCCCCAGCATCGCGCACGAAGCGGCCACACCGAGAGCTTAGTGCAGGCGACTGATTGGCAGGCGCCTGGTGCCTCCAGGGAAGCAGAGGGAGCTGGGCATCCGTCTCGTGGCAGGTGCCTGGGCTCAGTGTGTCGTTGGTGGACTCCGGCAGGTGCTGCTCACACTTTGGAGAATTAGGCAATGAGAGAATGACAGGGGTTTAGTAATTTTATTGTCTCAATAACCTTGCATGGGGTAAGGTCAGTGGGACCCCCCCCCGACGCCTGGCGTGTCTTAGCTACACGTGAGGTTAAAACAAAACAAAATTAATCGTCCTGTGAGGCCTGTTCTTATTAGGTGTTGGAAGTGACTAAGGATGGGAATATTACCGTGTTGGGCAGAAAGGATATAGCCCGAGACCGTCCTGTGGTTCAGATTCAAATTAGCGGCTCCTGAAACACTTTCATAGGATGATCAGCACTTTCACAGGGCGACTGCCACTCGGGTGGTACTTCAGTCTCAGCAGCGAAAATCCACCAGCACCGTTCCAAAGCAATAAAAATGGAGCCAGTCAGGGAAACTAGGTCACGTGGAACAAGCGGGGAGGTGGTAGCCAGGTTTCCAATTGGCCTTATTTTTACTTAACATAATTTTTATTTTAAATATTCTTTGGATTTTTTTGCTCTCAAGGAAGACACTGTAATGACATAAATTCCGCTAAATCTCTTGGGAAGACTGGGGAGGATTCTGGGGGGATTCGGGCAACTTCACTTTGAAGCATCAGCTTGCAGTGTGTGTGTGTTAGTTACTAGGCCCTAATCTATTTGCCTTTTGTTTTTTATTTCAAGTACATGTACAGTTTTTTGGCCCAGCCAAATGCCCTCGCTCACCTGGATTTATCCAACACAGAGTGTTCCCTGGACATGGTAATATTTTTATATTGCTCTGTGTGTTGGAGGCGGGGGTGTCTCAGACCAGCTCCTTAGTGGGATTCAAAGGGCTTTCTCGCTAATAAAATATCCCCTCAGACCCGGGAACCCGTGAGGTAAGCGCCCGCGGCCCTGTCTCCCCAGGTCTGCGGTGCTCTGCTCCGTGGGTGCCTTCAGTACCTGGCTGTGCTCAACCTCTCCAGGACCGTCTTCTCTCACCGGTGAGACGCTGCCCGCGGGCGTCAGCACCCGGGAGGGTCCGTCTGCCTCCCTCTCTCAGGGAAGCTTGTGTTACGACCACCGAGTGGTGGGGGCGGGTGTTGCACGTGCAGGGCGATCGCCTGAAACAACCGTTATCCGTGAATGTGAGGCCCGGAGAGCTCAGACGCCTGTCGTGTCCTCTTGCCGCTAAGTGGCATTCTCACCACCGCGTCCGGCCCGTGGGAACCGCACGGTGACGCATTTCTCGCCTGTGGACAGGCCCCCTCCGTCTAGGGCCGTCTTAGCTTCCCTTACGGGACCTTTAATTGGGTTGGATAGTTTTTTTTATCTTTCAGACACTTTGTTTTTTCTTTTCTTTAAATTTCTACTGAATCTATAGCCGATTCCTGGATGATTTCACGGTGTGTGAACAAGCAGCGGATGGAAGACGTTTGCCATGTGGGGAGTCGGGTGCTGAGGTGCCCGGGTGACCCCGTGTTCTGTTTTCCAGGAAAGGAAAGGAGGTCCCGCCATCGTTTAAGCAGTTTTTCAGCAGCTCCCTGGCCCTGACTCACATCAACCTCTCAGGCACGAAACTGTCCCCCGAGCCCTTAAAGTGAGTGGTTCGTTCGTTTTCTCTGGAGCTTTTCCAGTTCGGCGGGTGGCTGTCCGTGTGCTCGGGAGGGAGGAAGATGCAGAATCCCGAGGCCGACGGGGCCGATGGAAACGGCTTTTTACTTCCGGCACAGAAGGAATCCGACTCTTCATGAGCATATTGTGCTCTCTCGATATTGCTTCCCTTTGGACCTCGGCCGGAGCCACTGATCGTCTGTAAAAGTTGTGTCCCGGGTGCAACTGTCTTTATATTAACTCCGGTTTAGTCCATTTTTAGTATATTCTTGTGTGTGTGTGTTTTAAACTGATTTTTTGAAAGAGAGGAAGAGAGAGAGAGAGAGAGAGAGAGAGAGAAACATTGATCTGTTACCTCCCGTATGCACCTCGACCAGGGATTGAACCTGCAACCGAGGTATTGCCCTGACCGGGAATCGAACCCGCAACCTTCTGCTGTACGGGACGATGCTCCAACCAACCGAGCCCCCCGGCCGGGCATACAGTTGGCATTTTAAACAGTGAGGTGGTGCTTGGTGCCGGCCTGGGACCCGGGTCCTTCTCTGGGCTGTATTTGGGGCGCGTCCGGACTTGCGCGGTGACCGGTGCTCCCTCCGCAGGGCGCTGCTGCTCAGCCTGACCAGCAACCACAACCTGAAGGCCGTGTCCCTGGACCTGAGCGGCTGTGAGGTAGGCGCCCTGGGTGCCGCACCCCAGGAGAGAGCTCTTTCCTCCTGCAGAGAGCGATTCTGTTCCCGGGCGTATCAATGAAGCAGAAAAACACATCACAGAAGGTTCTGATGTTTTATGGGTTTTATCTCCAAACGGCCACAGATCCATGTTCAGAAAGCATTCAAGTGTGTTTTTAATGACTTTAAAAAAACAAAACCCCATTCTTGGCGCCAGCCCTTAAGTATTTACGACGAGGCCCGGAGACCCCACGCGGAGCACACAGCCCTTCTCTTCCACACCAAGCCCACGTTCGCTGCCCCCGCAGCAGCAACACATTTCGACTGGGTCTCGTCAAACCAAGTTTCGTCCTTGGAGGAACCTTTGGGGGAAAACGTCCCAGCATAAAAATTTTGTTTTTAAATTAAAATAGGAAGAAAAGCGATCATTTAGGGTGTTGTTTTACATTTAAATCTGTAGTATTTGCCGCATCTTTTTAAAAAGCAAAAGTGACCTCAGGGAAGGAGAAGGAATTTTTTGAAAGTTTTCTCTAGACTTTCGTGTCTTTACTTCTCTGGTCCCCATCATGACTGTTAAACACGATTCCCTTAGAGCTGTGAGGAACCCCTGGAATAGCCCAGCTCCCGTGGGTGAGAGGACACTTTTCTCTTGAAAGAAATGTGGTTTTTGTAGACATTTCAAAAAAGTGTACAGCAGTGGGCCCCACCCCCCCTCCATCCCGCCTGCTCTTCAGTGGCTCAGGTGTGGGGTTCCCAGGGACGGGCATTTGACGCCTGCCTTGCGGCCCAGAGGCCCCCAGCCCTCGTTACGCAGATGCGTTTACTGACTTTCATTTACAGCCGGGAGAGGTTTTGCTGTTTGGGGGAGGCTTCAGCTTGGGGGGAGCTTCAGGCATCAGGTAACCTGTGAATTAACGGAATGTCCTTGGTAACTGAAGACTAGTTATTTTCGTATTTAAGTTTTCGGTGTTTTGTTCCGGGAACAGGTTTTAGTTGGCAGGGTTTTCCCGACTCTGCTCTTTCGCGCTGTGTCGATAGACCTGAGCCTCTCGGTTCTTTCCTCACTTCCTGCCGATAACATTTTTTTTTTCCTCCCTGGGCTTCCCTTAGCTCGGCCATTGCGTAAGTACCTCACGGCGGTTTCATTTGCATGCGTTGATAGAGCTGATTATTTCTGACAATTGGAAAGTGTTGCTTTTATGGGTAAATGCCACAAATATCACCAGTCAGCAGCTTTTACAAAATACACAGAGTCGATCGCTTAAATGTTGCCTGAACTTTCCATATTTGTAAGTGGGAGATTTTTGCTGTGCTTTATAATAATGGAAAGTGGGAAAGGCTGGATTTAATCGCATCAACCAAAACACTCCCGAGTGAAGAGGGGCCCAGAGATCTGTGCAAAACTCCGCTAAGTACGCAGGCGCCTGGGGGAGTGGGTCGGTCTGGTCCAGGGAACCAGAAAAACACTGCAGCTAAAATAGTGAAGTCACGATTCCTTAACTTCTTACCTCAAAACTTGAACAAGCAGAAAACAGCACCTTGTGTTATAAATTCGATGTAGCAGTTTATATAAATGTCAGTTTCCTTCAGTGACTAGAGGAACAGCCATGATCCCCGGTGCACAGGAGGCTCAACAAGTGATCATTTCTCTCCTGTTTGGTAGTAAGTTTGTTGAGCAGAGTGGCTGCAGGTCGGGAAACTGCGCCCCACACAAGGCTCTGCACACAGTAGGAGCGCAGAGAGCTGCCGAAAGGAAAATAGAAAGATATTCTGACCTCTGGAAACTGTGCTTTTGGTTTCATGGAAAAAGACGAAACTTTCGGGTTATATATTCTGTTTGGAATAAATTAGGTATTTGGAATAACGCTCTTAGTTTGGGTCTGAGGCAACCCTAATCATCGCACTTTAGGTTAAGGAAACGTCTTTTTCTCCGGTGGCGCCAGGCGTCCCGTCCGCTCAGGCCGCTTTGAGGCCTTGGAGCCCTGCGCTCCCTGCTGCACCACCGCGGGCCCAGCACCGCCCTGGGCCCCTCCCGAGCTGGGTGCCGGTCGGGGTTAGTCTTTCTCAGCCTCTTTGGTGCTGCTGCTGCC